AGTAAACAAAGAAGAGCTCTCCAGTAGGTGTACCAAAACTTTCAAGGGCCATTTTCTCAAAAGTGGGGTTAAAAGCAAAATTAATATAATGTTGTTCCTCAACTGCAGTGTATGATATACCATTGTGTATCTCTGAGTCTCTACTTTTACCCAATGTAAAAAACACAATTTCAAAATTTGCAAAATAAGACCAAATAGCACCTCTATTTGGTCTTATTTTGCTAAATTTGAAATTGCGTTTTTTACATTGGATAAAAGTTTGGTCACATATTTTTATTTATTTATTTCACCTTTATTTAACCAGGTAAGCCAGTTGAGAACAAGTTCTGATTTACAACTGCGACCTGGCCAAGATAAAGCCTAGCAGTGTGATAAAAACAACAACACAGAGTTACATATGGGGTAAACAAAACATAAAGTCAAAAAATATAAATATATATACAGTGGGGAGAACAAGTATTTGATACACTGCTGATTTTGCAGGTTTTCCTACTTACAAAGCATGTAATTTTTATCATAGGTACACTTAAACTGTGAGAGACGGAATCTAAAACAAAAATCCAGAAAATCACATTGTATGATTTTTAAGTAATTAATTTGCATTTTATTGCATGACATAAGTATTTGATACATCAGAAAAGCAGAACATAATATTTGGTACAAAATTTGTTTGCAATTACAGAGATCATACGTTTCCTGTAGGTCTTGACAAGGTTTGCACACACTGCAGCAGGGATTTTGGCCCACTCCTCCATACAGACCTTCTCCAGATCCTTCAGGTTTCGGGGCTGTCGCTGGGCAATACGGACTTTCAGCTCCCTCCAAAGACTTTCTATTGGGTTCAGGTCTGGAGACTGGCTAGGCCACTCCAGGACCTTGAGATGCTTCTTACGGAGCCACTCCTTAGTTGCCCTGGCTGTGTGTTTCGGGTCGTTGTCATGCTGGAAGACCCAGCCACGACCCATCTTAAATGCTCTTACTGAGGGAAGGAGGTTGTTGGCCAAGATCTCGCGATACATGGCCCCATCCATCCTCCCCTCAATACGGTGCAGTCGTCCTGTCCCCTTTGCAGAAAAGCATCCCCAAATAATTATGTTTCCACCTCCATGCTTCACGGTTGGGATGGTGTTCTTGGGCTTGTACTCATCCTTCTTCTTCCTCCAAACACAGCCAGTGGAGTTTAGACCAAAAAGCTATATTTTTGTCTCATCAGACCACATGACCTTCTCCCATTCCTCCTCTGGATCATCCAGATGGTCATTGGCAAACTTCAGAGGGGCCTGGACATGCGCTGGCTTGAGCAGGGGGACCTTGCGTGCGCTGCAGGATTTTAATCCATGACGGCATAGTGTGTTACTAATGGTTTTCTTTGAGACTGTGGTCCCAGCTCTCTTCAGGTCATTGACCAGGTCCTGCCGTGTAGTTCTGGGCTGATCCCTCACCTTCCTCATGATCATTGATGCCCCACGAGGTGAGATCTTGCATGGAGCCCCAGACCGAGGGTGATTGACCGTCATCTTGAACTTCTTCCATTTTCTAATAATTGCGCCAACAGTTGTTGCCTTCTCACCAAGCTGCTTGCCTATTGTCCTGTAGCCCATCCCAGCCTTGTGCAGGTCTACAATTTTATCCCTGATGACCTTACACAGCTCTCTGGTCTTAGCCATTGTGGAGAGGTTGGAGTCTGTTTGATTGAGTGTGTGGACAGGTGTCTTTTATACAGGTAACGAGTTCAAACAGGTGCAGTTAATACAGGTAATGAGTGGAGAACAGGAGGGCTTCTTAAAGAAAAACTAACAGGTCTGTGAGAGCCGGAATTCTTACTGGTTGGTAGGTGATCAAATACTTATGTCATGCAATAAAATGCAAATTAATTACTTAAAAATCATACAATGTGATTTTCTAGATTTTTGTTTTAGATTCCGTCTCTCACAGTTGAAGTGTACCTATGATAAAAATTACAGACCTCTACATGCTTTGTAAGTAGGAAAACCTGCAAAATCGGCAGTGTATCAAATACTTGTTCTCCCCACTGTATATATATATGCTGCTACTCTGTTTATTATTTATCCTGATTGCCTAGTCACTTTTACCTCTTCCTACAGTTGAAGTCGGAAGTTTACATATACCTTAGCCAAATACATTCAAACTCAGTTTTTCACAATCCCTGACATTTAATCCTAGTAAACATTCCCTGTCTTAGGTCAGTTAGGATCACCACTTTATTTTAAGAATGTGAAATGTCAGGATAATAGTAGAGAGAATGATTTATTTCAGCTTTTATTTCTTTCATCACATTCCCAGTGGGTCAGAAGTTTACATACACTCAATTAGTATTTGGTAGCATTGCCTTTAAATTGTTTATCTTGGGTTAAACGTATTGGGTAGCCTTCCACAAGCTTCCCACAATAAGTTGGGTGAATTTTGGCCCATTCCTCCTGACAGAGCTGGTGTAACTGAGTCAGGTTTGTAGGCCTCCTTGCTCGCACATGCTTTTTCAGTTCTGCCCACATATTTTCTATAGGATTGAGGTCAGGGCTTTGTGATGGCCACTCCAATACCTTGACTTTGTGGTCTTTAAGCCATTTTGCCACAACTTTGGAAGTATGCTTGGGGTCATTGTGTAGTTATATTTTTGTTTAATCAGACCAGAGGACATTTCTCCAAAAAGTAAGATCCTTGTCCCCATGTTCAGTTGCAAACCGTAGTCTGGCTTTTTTATTGCGATTTTGGAGCAGTGGCATTTTCCTTGCTGAGCGGCCTTTCAGGTTATGTCGATATAGGACTCGTTTTACTGTGGATATAGATACTTTTGTACCTGTTTCCTCCAGCATCTTCACAAGGTCCTTTGCTTTTGTTCTGGGATTGATTTGCACTTTTCGCACCAAAGTACGTTCATCTCTAGCAGACACAACGCGTCTCCTTCCTGAGCGGTATGACGGCTGCGTGGTCCCATGGTGTTTATACTTGCGTACTATTGTTTGTACAGATGAACGTGGTACCTTCAGGCGTTTGGAAATTGCTCCCAAGGATGAACCAGACTTGTGGAGGTCTACAATTGGCTGATTTCTTTTGATTTTCCCATGATGTCAAGCAAAAAGGCACTGAGTTTGAAGGTAGGCCTTGAAATACATCCACAGGTACACCTCCAATTGACTCAAATGATGTCAATTAGCCTATCAGCCTATTTTCTGAAATTTTCCAAGCTGTTTAAAGGCACAGTCAATTTAGTGTATGTAAACTTCTGACCCACTGGAATTGTGATACAGTGAATTATAAGTGAAATAATCTGTCTGTAAACAAATTGTTGGAAAAATTACTTGTGTCATGCACAAAGTAGATGTCCTAACCGACTTGCCAAAAACTATACAAGTACTATACTAAACAAGTGTTATTGTGTTACTATTTATTTTATTTTTTTTTGCAAAATGTTTATACTTTTAAACTTTTAAAATATCACAGTAAAGTGTTCTCCCGAGTGGCACAGTGGTCTAAGGTCTAGCTGTGCCACTAGAGATCCTGGTTCGAATCCAGGCTCTGTCGTAGCCGGCTGCGACCGGGAGACCCATGGGGCGGCGCACAATTAGGCGAGGGAATGTCCGGCAGGGATATAGCTCAGTTGGTAGAGCATGCCGTTTTCAACACCAGGGTTGTGAGTTCGATTGCACTATCTGTAAGTCGCTCTGGATAAGAGCGTCTGCTAAACGACTAAAATGTAAAGTCTACACCTGTTTTTTTCGGTGCATGTGACTAATATATTTTTATTTATTTTTGAAATGCGTTAAAATTTATAGTCAGATACAGTCCTATTTCCTTAATTACATCACCATTTCCAATCAGAAGTTATATACAACGTTTTTTTCACCAAACGTATCTTAACAGTAGGCTATTCCTGGTATTTTCTTATTGTGGTACGTGGGTGATGTTTCCGAGAGTGTGGGATAGTCATTCTCTGCACATGCTGTCACACATTGGCTACTAGCTTACAGGTAGCCTATGGAAGAGCGAATGCACCTCCCGCACGCTGCTTTGCTATTGACATAGTGCGTAAGAGATAGCCTCAGTTCTGTACTTGAGCGCACAAAGGATCTAATACCAACTTTATTTGAGGAGGAAAATTCAAACGGAACACTTTGCAGGTTTGAATTCAAACAATTACTTTGTGTATCTATTGATGCGATAATATCAAAATAACACGAGAGTCTTGTAGAATTAAAAATGCCCGACTGATTTTAATTCAAAATAGCCCACATAGACTACGGATTAATATTTGCAATTATTTCCCTACAATGTTTATCCTATAAGGCCAATTTATAGTATTTTTTAATTGAATAAATGGGTGCTTTTGACTATAGGCAACATTGTATTTAACATATTAGTAGACATATTCTTTCGACCAACTTCATATATTTTTAGTGTACTATTTTGTTTGCGTTGCTAAAATATTGTCAGTGGTGTAGCCTATATGACAGTCTGATTTTGTAATATAGGCTACTAGTTTGTAAAATAGCCTAACCCTTATTTCCCCTTCGATTGGCGTAGGCTGTTTGTTTATCGTTTTGATAGGATACAATTAACATTAGCATAATACCATTCACTCCCGTTTTGGACTCTTGAGCTTAATATTTAATATGTACAATTGAATTTATTTCAAAAGAAAAAAGCCAATAAATGTAGATAGGAAATAAATACAACAAAGTAGCCTCCGTGATTAAACAAATAGGCTACAACGAAATTGTGAACAAAACGAAAAGTAGGTTAATACGTTTCAACTTGCGTTTGATGTTGTATAGCATACATTTGATTAATTCCTTAATAGCCTAAATGTAACTATTCTTAGTTTTATTATCACAATTATTACGTTTAAGTAGGCTATAAATAGGGCTATGATGACACTGTCATTAATATCAGCCTACTTTGTTTAGGGCTTCAGCATAATAACATTATGTGAATATCACAACTGAAAAATAAAAGTTAGTGTTCTTTGATCTTAGTGAGAGATGGATTCGGAAAGGAAGGCTCAGCCGATGCGTGTGCTCGTCACGGGCGGATCCGGATTGGTCGGGAAGGCCATCGAGCACGTGGTGAAACAAGAAGGCGGCTGTCTGGAGGGCGAACAGTGGACCTTCCTCTCCTCCAAACAGGCCAACCTTGTGTAAGTGATGTCACATGAGCCTTAAATTCTCAGCAGAGCTGGTCTGAGACTTGGTCGTTGCAGAGAAAAATGTCCTACTCTATATACAAGAGATGCCATGGTCCCATCTACATGCCCTAGAAATATTAGCATGTCTGTTCTACATAACATATTTCTATAGGAATGTTATGTCATACTGATTTTAATATTTGTAAATTCCTGTTATGGCCCTTTTACATCTGGGGTCGATTTTGTGGTTCCAACAGGAACGAACTAGATAAAAGAAGTCCCAAAAATAGGTTCACTCATAGAAAAATTATTATATTGTATTCTCTGCTATTCTATTATTTTCTATTCTATAGATAGATGGATTGATGGATAGATAGATATATAGATATAGTTTCTAGCTCCTGTTGGAACCACATTAAATGTTTAGCTCATTAGATTTGTGTGTGCATAATTTTATGAGATTGATGTGTTTGCCATTAAATGGGATGATGATGATGATGATGATGAATGGTGATGAATGATGACAGTTGTACAATGTTCTGCCAGAGATCTACAACAGACAATAGCAGTTTTTAAGAAGTATCGGCCCACCCATGTCATCCACTTGGCTGCCAAGGTGGGAGGACTCTACCTTCACATGAAGGAGAACCTACACTTTCTGGTGAGCTTCATTACCTAACTACCCAGTTTGTTTCAATCACTAGGCTATATGTTTTTGTCATAAAGTACATTTGTTAAATCATTTCTAACTCACCGGACCTTTTTTTTTCCACAAAGCTCCCACACTGGCTAATTTCTTACCTGGAGGACCTGATTGTTAACCAAATAATGAAATATTCTGTACAAAATCCCCAATACAGACAGGCCTATAGGCTGAAGATGGAACCAGCTCATCTGGCATTTTGCCTGAACTGTCCTAAGGCCAGTCCGTTTCTGTGTTCAATTCTGTAGAGTACTTTGTTCAGATCAGTGTGTATTTGTCCCATAGCTTAGTATAGTATTGAGTGACACATAACCAATACATCAAACATACATACTTTATGACTAAATATTTGTGTGTACTGTATTTGTTCTGTGTAATTATGTCATATACAGGGTGTTTGTTTTGTGTTGTTCAGTATGTTTTTTGTCATTGCATTGCCGTGAAATGGTTTGTTTTACCTAGCTACCGGTTGAGTGCACTGACTGTAAGTAGCCCTGGAAAATATATTCTGTGTCAATGGCTGAGGTTAATGTGGTGTGGGAGTCAGGCGCAGGACACCGAAGCTTAGTCCAACAAAGTTTACTAGTGCAAACCAAAGCACAATACAAAGAACGGCCTCAACAAAAAACAGAGGCAAGCGATTACGCAAACTGTGCGTAAACCAAATAAAACAATAAACAGAGAAAAACACACAGCACTAACGGATAGCGAATAACAACACACAAACTAACCAACACCAAACAGGCAACTTATAGGACCCACAATTAGACACAAACGGACACAGGTGCAACAGACAGACAAAAGCAATCAAACATAGAAACATTCAACGGTGGCAGCTAGTACTCCGGGGACGACGAACGCCGAAGCCTACCCGAACAAGGAGGAGGAGCAGCCTCGGCAGAATCCGTGACATTCTGCTAATTACCTAAATATAAATGTTTGACTGGCTGGGCAACTACTTGTGACTTTGTTGACATAGTACTGCTCACACCCACTTCTTAATCTTTTTCGGAAAGGGTATTAATCCATCTGTGAAGGGAGCTTACAGGAGAGCTTGTTATCACAGTATCCAAATGCATGCATTTAATTCATTTGTGGGAAAACAAGTTGTGTAAAGCCGCAATGCAGGTTTGATTGAATTGAGACCACCGTTTTTTGCCTTCACAGAGGGACAACCTTCGCATCAATGACAACGTGCTGCAGACATCTCACGAAATGGGCGTCACCAAGGTGGTGTCCTGCCTGTCCAGCTGCATCTTTCCTGACAAGACCACCTACCCTATCGATGAGAGCATGGTGAGTTGAACAACCAATAAGACCTTATCGATGAGAGCATGGTGAGTTGAACAACCAATAAGACCCTATCAATGAGAGCATGTTGAGTTTAATACTAAAATACCATGATTGCATCAAATGGCACCCTATTCCCTATATAGTGCATTAATTTTGACCAGAGCCCTAATGGCACTGGTCAAAAGTAGGAGGTCAACAGTATAGGGTGCCATTTGGGAAACAACCAGTGGGATGACAGTAGAACTGTGTTTGGGAACCTCTGGCCCTCCAAACTGTGATTTTTAAGAAAAGCTGGTGTATGATCACTCATGCTTTCCTCCTTCCCACAGATCCACAATGGGCCTCCACACGACTCGAACTTTGGCTACTCACATGCCAAAAGAATGATTGATATTCAGAACAGGTGAGCTGGTGACTAATCTGTTACCTGTGCAGGTACATTAGCACACAGTTTAAAGACCCACTCCAGCCTCCCTAGCACCTCATTTATCACCTGATTTACTTAACAAAAGGTGCATTTCAGGAGCTGGTACAGGTCCCTCATTACATGGCACAACCCAGCTAGCACATAACGTTCTGAGAACCATATGTTTTTTAGAGCTTGGTGAGAGCGTGGCTGTCCTATGGTTATTTTACATACAACCTTCCTACAATGTTCTGGGAATGGTGCAGGATACCCAGCTAGCACATAATGTTATGAGAACCATATGTTTCTTAGGTGGGAATTTCAGTACTTCAGCATTACGTTTCCTACAGGTTTCCTCATGGTTCGATTTAAAGTAATGTTTTCAAATTGTTTTGTGTATGTTAAGAAACAATGTTCTTCTGTGGGAATTTCAGTACTTCAGCATAATGTTTTCTGCAGGTTTCCTCATGGTTCTATTTAAAGTCATGTTCTCAGAACATAAAAAAATACTTTCCATGAAAACCACAATAATGTTCTAAGAATATTATTTATAAACATATACAGTGGGGGAAAAAAGTATTTAGTCAGCCACCAATTGTGCAAGTTCTCCCACTTAAAAAGATGAGAGAGGCCTGTAATTTTCATCATAGGTACACCTCAACTATGACAGACAAAATGAGAAAATAAAATCCAGAAAATCACATTGTAGGATTTTTAATGAATTTATTTGCAAATTATGGTGGAAAATAAGTATTTGGTCAACAACAAAAGTTTCTCAATACTTTGTTATATACCCTTTGTTGGCAATGACACAGGTCAAACGTTTTCTTAAAGTCTTCACAAGGTTTTCACACACTGTTGCTGGTATTTTGGCCCATTCCTCCATGCAAATCTCCTCTAGAGCAGTGATGTTTTGGGGCTGTCGCTGGGCAACACGGACTTTCAACTCCCTCCAAAGATTTTCTATGGGGTTGAGATCTGGAGACTGACTAGGCCACTCCAGGACCTTGAAATGCTTCTTACGAAGCCACTCCTTCGTTGCCCGGGCGGTGTGTTTGGGATCATTGTCATGCTGAAAGACCCAGCCACGTTTCATCTTCAATGCCCTTGCTGATGGAAGGAGGTTTTCACTCAAAATCTCATGATACATGGCCCCATTCATTCTTTCCTTTACACAGATCAGTTGTCCTGGTCCGTTTGCAGAAAAACAGCCCCAAAGCATGATGTTTCCACCCCCATGCTTCACAGTAGGTATGGTGTTCTTTGGATGCAACTCAGCATTCTTTGTCCTCCAAACACGACGAGTTGAGTTTTTACCAAAAAGTTATATTTTGGTTTCATCTGACCATATGACATTCTCCCAATCCTCTTCTGGATCATCCAAATGCACTCTAGCAAACTTCAGACGGGCCTGGACATGTACTGGCTTAAGCAGGGGGACACGTCTGGAACTGCAGGATTTGAGTCCCTGGCGGTGTAGTGTGTTACTGATGGTAGGCTTTGTTACTTTGTTCCCAGCTCTCTGCAGGTCATTCACTAGGTCCCCACGTGTGGTTCTGGGATTTTTGCTCACCGTTCTTGTGATCATTTTGACCCCACAGGGTGAGATCTTGCGTGGAGCCCCAGATCGAGGGAGATTATCAGTGGTCTTGTATGTCTTCTATTTCCTAATAAATGCTCCCACAGTTGATTTCTTCAAACCAAGCTGCTTACCTATTGCAGATTCAGTCTTCCCAGCCTGGTGCAGGTCTACAATTTTGTTTATGTTGTCCTTTGACAGCTCTTTGGTCTTGGCCATAGTGGAGTTTGGAGTGTGACTGTTTAAGGTTGTGGACAGGTGTCTTTTATACTGATAACAAGTTCAAACAGGTGCCATCAATACAGGTAACGAGTGGAGGACAGAGGAGCCTCTTAAAGAAGAAGTTACAGGTCTGTGAGAGCCAGAAATCTTGCTTGTTTGTAGGTGACCAAATACTTATTTTCCACCATAATTTGCAGATAAATTCATAAAAAATCCTACAATGTGATTTTCTGGAAACATTTTTCTCAATTTGTCTGTCATAGTTGACGTGTACCTATGATGAAAATTACAGGCCTCTCTCATCTTTTTAAGTGGGAGAACTTGCACAATTGGTGGCTGACTAAATACTTTTTTTCCCCACTGTACATTCCATTAGCGTCAACAAAACTCTCTATCTTGTTAAGTGTGTTCCGGTGTGTTGGCCGCGCCCAGTAATTGGCCACACCTGAGCTTTATGAGTGCGTGTTTCCTTTGAAATGGGGTCTGTTTGAATAGACTAAAATGAACAGATTTGTATAAGTAAAAAAAACATGGCATACTAGTGACATCCTGGTGGACTAATTCCATGGATAGCAAACAGAAGATCATAGGTTCAAATGTCACTGACTCCATGCCACAATAAAACATAAATGTGTTATTCATTTCAATGTGTCCCATCTGTGTTTGGTGTTGAAAACAGTTAACCAAAACTAAGCTAGCAGTGTTATAAAAAGTCTTATTGAAACATGTTCTCAGAACGTTATTTAATTACTTTCAAATAACCTATAATTTCCATTCTCAGAACATTAATAAGACCTCCCAGGAAAACTTTCAGGGAACCATAGTAAAACGTTCTCAGAACTTCCCTGCAACCTAAAAATTAACATTCCCAGAACAGCCAACATTTTTATTTCTGTACCCAGTTTTACCAGTCAGGAAACTTAAGTCTTCATTTCCAGAACCAATGGGAAATCAAAAACTTACATTCCTGCAACTTCCAAGGAACCAAATATGCTAGCTGGGAAGTGGGGGAGGGCCTTTCCTCTTTTGTCCTCTATTGCTCTTCTATTGTTCTTGGAAACAAGGGGGAAGGCCGATGACATCAGTGTGCATCCATCAGACCAACCCCTTGAATTGACAACTCCTTGATTTCGCCGTTGTGTCCAAAAAAAAAACACTATTTGTCTCCAAACACTATTTTTTACCCTTAAGGGTGTGTACCAGTGGAGGCTCCTCAGAGTAGGAAGGAGAGGACCATCCTCCTCAGTGAATTTCATAAAAATTATGAAACACTAAAATAATTATCCTTTTTAGATCAAACTATTCAAAATATATTCACGTCACCAAATAATTGATTAAAACACACTGTTTTGCAATGAAGGTCTACATTAGTCTCAACAGCACTCAGTAGAGTAGCACCGTGTTGTAGCCGGAGGACAGCTAGCTTCTGTCCTCCTCTGGGTACATTGACTTTAATACAAAACCTAGGAGGATCATGGTTCTCACTCCCTTCGATAGACTTACACAGTAATCATGACATCTTTTGGAGGATATCCTCCAACCTATCAGAGCTCTTGCAGCATGAACGGACATGTTGTCTGCCCAATCGAAGGATAATAGAATGAGTCTAGTACTGAAAGCGTAAGCTACAGTTAGCTATTACTGCAGTGCATATAATGTGGTGAGTATTTGACACAAAGAGAGAGAAAGAAAATAGTAGAACCGTTTTGAACAAATTAATTTCTTCAAAAATTAAGGAGGAGTGAGAGAGCTAGCTATAGTTTGTATTCTTTCACTTTCACTTACTTAACTAGCAAATATAGCTAGCTAGATTAGCGTACTCAAACACCTGGCTCAAACAGATGGATGCTATGTTAGCTAGCTGGCTATGACTATCCAACACTGGAACTCTTCCAAGTTAAAATAAGCTTTTGGTTTTACATTTCACATTTTAGTCATTTAGCAGACTTTCTTTTCCAGAGCGACCTACAGTAGTGAGTGCATACATTTTCATATTTGTTTGTACTAGTCCCTCATGGGAAACGAACCCACAACACTGGTGTTGCAAGTGACATGCTCTACCAACTGAGCCACACGGGACCCCTATTTTAAACTAATTTATTGCCACCGGTGCCCGCTGGTGTAACTGCTAAACCGCTTACTGACTGTAAACTGTACTGCATGATTATAGCGGGTTTGCTAACGCGTTAGTTCTATTAGCTATGTTGACTATGACGTTACTTTAGCTAATATGGTGACAACAATATAGGCTGTCTGTAGTGGTTATGATATGAAGGTTTGGCTTGGAAACTTTTCTTTGCCAGGTCACAGACAGCTGATGTGTTGTGCATTGAAGTCCACAAGCGAAGGGAAAAGTTGAGAGGAGGAGAGTGCGTAGATGCAAGAAGGAATACAACGAGCTGTTTGTATGTGGCTATGAAAGTGAACTGTTTGCGTGTGATGAGGGGTGTATTCAATCCGCCGATTCTGTTGAAAACTTTTCTTAAACGGAAGCAAACGGAACGAAACGGGGATGAACATACCTGAATTTGTCCAATAAAAACTCTTGTTTGCAACTGTTGGACTAATGATTACACCCTAGATCAGCTAGATGCAGGCAAGAGTGTACAAGGCGATATTAATGTGTCACTGTCTTTCCATGTGTCACTGTCTGTCACCTCAAATCTTTCTCTCGACCTGCGTGCACCTACGTTGTAAACTTTCATTCATAGGCTAGGTTGTAGCAACATCATGATTGGTATAGGGAAAATTTGAGTATTATGTAGTAGCTTAAGCGTATCGATATTACATTGAATTGGGTGAATGGAATATGAATGACAGTCATCCAATATGCTGTAATAGAAATGAGGGCATGCTCATAAATTTTTTTATCATCCTCCCTTATCTTAAACGGCACCAACCGCCACTGGTGTGTACCTTTTACTGTATGTATCCTTGGAATATCATTTTTCAAAGGGAAAGTAAAAAAAAGCTGTAGTGGATCTTTAAATGTTCTAACCACAACATGATTGTGTGTGTGTGTGTATGTGTGTGCGTGGGCTTGATTGACAACAGGGGATACTTTGCACAGCATGGGCGTCGCTACACCGCCGTTATCCCGACTAACGTGTATGGTCCCTATGACAATTTCAACTTTGAAAATGGTCACGTGCTGTCGGCACTCATGCATAAGACACACACTGCTAAAAGTAAGTAACACACACACTACTTGTATGCACTCACGCAAAAAAAACACACACACACACACAGACAGACAGATACAAACGCTTACTCCTTTCTACTCTCATTGTAACAGAGGAGGGAACCCCTCTACAGGTGTGGGGCTCCGGAACACCCAGGAGACAATTCATCTACTCTCTGGTATGTTTTGTGAATGACTCTGTGTGTATGACTGTGTGTGTGTGTGTGTGTCAGATGTGTGTGTGCGTTAAATCTGTGTGTGTGTGTGTGTGTGTGTTCTCTCAGGATGTAGCACGTCTGTTCCTCTGGGTGCTGCGGGAGTATGATGAGATTGACCCCATCATTCTCTCTGGTGAGTCCAACATGGTTTGTGTGTGTGTGATCAGTCATTGTGTGTATGTACAGTATGCAACTAGACCAATCTCCTTTGACACTTGTCTCTCACAGTGGGGGAGGAGGAGGAGCTCTCCATCAAGGACGCCGTAGACATGATCGCAGACGCCCTGGACTTCAAAGGTGAAATAGTTGTATCCTTTCACAGGCTGTGTACTCCTGATAAGAGTTGCCCCTAGGCACAGATCTAGGATCAGCATATTCTCCTCAAATCCTAACCTTAACCATTATTCAAATTTGACCTTAGATCAGTGTCTAGAGCCAATCTAGTACAATCCTTAGTACAACACCAGCAACCACATCTAGAGGTTCATTACACCTGTTGGACAGTTAAAAACCGAATTGGGTTGGCTACCCCTCATATCCGTTGCGCTGTAACTATGTCATCACCCTGTGCTTTGCCTATCGTGACCCTTGACCTATAGCATCAGTTTGACACCAGCAAGTCAGACGGTCAGATAAAGAAGACGGCCAGCAATGCCAAGCTGCGACGCTACCTCCCTGACTTCACCTTCACGCCACTCTCTGAAGGTCAGAGGTCAAAACACAGAGGGATGCATTTTCTGTCCAGAAAACAACTCAATATTGTTGTTGGAATTAGTTGCCTTGTAAATAACACAGACACAATGCACAGTATCCATAGATGACCGACTGTGTCTTTCCTCCCCTACAGGTATCAAGAAGACCTGTGATTGGTTTGTGAACAACTACGACATAGCCCGAACATAAAGACCAATGATGATAGAGACATGAAGATTGTTTAATGAAAAAGACTAGGGCTACATCCCAATACTACTACTGTGCCTTCCTTCTCTTATGTCCTTGCCTTCATGTCAACTGATAAGGGACAGATCGAAATGTACTGGGAGAGGGGTGGACCAAAATAGGGGAGTGTTGTCAAACCTTTTTTCTTTGCTTTGGGGAGGGTTGCGTGTTTTTTTTAATTTGTCACAGGGGAGGGTAGTGCGTTTTTTCCCTAGTTTACATTCGCTCTTCTGCTTGTATTTTCCTTATAAAAAATGGCTTGACTTACTTTTGATATTACCCTAATAAAGTTTAGAAACCTTTGTGAAGGTTTGGTATGGTGTGGCTATTATTAAGCTTTAGTTACTGCAGGCCTATGATATGAAGGCAGTGCACCCCGGCGCTCCAACTGACTCTGACAGTTGAACTTGAGGTGAGGAAGTCTGTTTCAGGCCTACCAGAGTTACTCCTATAATCTAACAATATAATGCTTATCTTTATACAAAATATTCGGATTGAAAATTAACGAATTAGCCTCCTTCTGTACGTCTATATCTGTATTGCAGCCACAGTAGCTATCTGACATATATAAATGCATGTCGGTGTCATTGCATGCCACCAGCATATCTCTATCATTCTCTCTGGGGTTAGGCCTAAGCTTCACATATATACAGTTGAAGTCGGAAGTTTACATAAACTTAGGTTGGAGTCATTATAACTCGTTATTCAACCACTCCACAAATGTCTTGTTAACAAACTATAGTTTTGGCAAGTCGGTTAGGACATCTACTTTGTGCATGACACAAGTAATTTTTCCAACAATTATTTACAGACAGATTATTTCACTTATAATTCACTGTATCACAATTCCAGTGGGTCAGAAGTTTACATAAACTAAGTTGACTGTGCCTTTAAACAGCTTGGAAAATACCAGAAAATGATGGCATGGCTTTAGAAGCTTCTGATAGGCTAATTGACATCATTGGAGTCAATTGGAAGTGTACCTGTGGATGTATTTCAAGGCCTACCTTCAAACTCAGTGCATCTTTGCTTGACATCATTGGAAAATCAAAACAAATCAGCCAAGACCTCAGAAAAAAATGTGTAGACCTCCACAAGTCTGGTTCATCCTTGGGAGCAATTTCCAAACGCCTGAAGGTACCACGTTCAGCTGTACAAACAATAGTACGCAAGTAGAAACACCATGGGACCACGCAGCCATCATACAGCTCAGGAAGGAGACGCGTTCTGTCTCCTAGAGATGAACGTACTTTGGTGCGAAAAGTGCAAATCAATCCCAGAACAACAGCAAAGGACCTTGTGTAGATGCTGGAGGAAACAGGTACAAAATTATCTATATCCACAGTAAAACGAGTCCTATATCGACATAACCTGAAAGGCCGCTCTGCAAGGAAGAAGCCACTGCTCCAAAACCGCCATAAAAAAGCCAGACTACGGTTTGCAACTGAACATGGGGACAAAGATCATACTTTTTGGAGAAATGTCCTCTGGTGTGCCAGAACAGCAAATAGCTTTGACTGGGCTGAGCGGGAACTGTGCTTCCGTAGAGGTAGGGGAGCTAGCAGGCCAGAGGTGGATGAACGTAGTGCCCTTGTTTGGGTGTAGGGTCTGATCAGAGCCTGAAGGTAAGGAGCTGCCGTTCCCCACACAGCTCCAGCAAGCACCATGGTCTTGTAGTAGATGCAAGCCTCAACTGGAAGCCAGTGGAGTGTGCGGAGGAGCGGGGTGACATGATAGAACTTGGGAAGGTCGAACACCAGACGGGCTGCAGCGTTCTGGATAAATTGTAGGGGTTTAATGGCACAGGCAGGGAGCCCAGCCAACAGCGAGTTGCAGTAATCCAGGAGATGACAAGTGCCTGGATTAGAACCTTTGCCGCTTTCTGTGTAAGGTATGGTCGTACTCTGCGAATGTTGTAGAGCATGAACCTGAAGGATCGGGTCACCGCTTTGATGTTAGCAGAGAACGACAGGTTGTTGTCCAGGGTCACGCCAAGGATCTTTGCACTCTGGGAGGAGGACACAATGGAGTTGTCAACCGTGATGGCGAGATCGTGGAGCGGGCAGTCCTTCACTGGGAGGAAGAACAGCTCTGTCTTGCCGAGGTTCAGCTTGAGGTGGTGATCCGACATCCAAACTGATATGTCTCCCAGACATTTTTTTTTTTTTTGTCATTTTAGCAGACGCTCTTATCCAGAGCGACTTACAGTTATTATTATTTTTTTCATACTGGCCCCCCGTGGGAATCGAACCCACAACCCTGGTGTTGCGAACGCCATGCTCTACCAACTGAGCTAAATCCCTGCCGGCCATTCCCTCCCCTACCCTGGACCAATCCCTCCCCTACCCTGGACCAATTGGGCAGTGTGAGCAGGACCAGCAGTGTAATTTGACTTAATGAATGAGGACCGGATGTCGTCAACCTTCTTTTCAAAATGGTTGACGAAGTCATCAACAGAGAGGGAGGAGGGCGGGGGAGGAGGAGGAGGATTCAGCAGGGAGGAGAAGGTGGCAAAGAGCTTCCTAGGGTTAGAGGCAGAGGCTTGAAATTTAGAGTGGTAGAAAGTGGCTTTAGCAGCGGAAACAGAGAAAGAGAATGTAGAGAGGAGGGAGTGAAAAGATGACAGGTCCGCAGGGAGTTTAGATTTCCTCCATTTCCGCTCGGCTGCCCGGAGCCCTCTTCTGTGAACTCGCAATGAGTCGACAAGCCACGGAGCAGAAGGGGAGGACCGAGCCGGCCGGGAGGATAGGGGACATAGAGAGTCAAAAGATGCAGAAAGGGAGGAGAGGATGGTTCAGGAGGCAGAATCAGGAGATCGGAGGTAGAAGGAATTAGCAGACGGAAGAGATGATAGGATGGAAGAGGAGAGAGTAGCGGGAGAGAGAGAGCGAAGGTTGCGACGGCACATTACCATCTTAGTAGGGGCAGAGTGAGAGAGAAAAGGATACAAAGTAGTGGTCGGAGACTTGGAGGGGAGTTGCAGTGAGATTAGTAGAAGAACAGCATCTAGTAAAGATGAGGTCAAGCGTATTGCCTGCCTTGTGAGTAGGGGGGGACGGTGAGAGGGTGAGGTCAAAAGAGGAAAGGAGTGGAAAGAAGGAGGCAGAGAGAAATTAGTCAAAGGCAGACGTAGGGAGGTTAAAGTCTCCCAGAACTGTGAGGGGTGAGCCATCCTCAGGAAAGGAACTTATCAAAGCGTCAAGCTCATTGATGAACTCTCCAAGGGAACCTGGAGGGCGATAAATGACAAGGATGTTAAGCATGAATGGGCTAGTGACTGTGACAGCATGGAATTCAAATGAGGAGATAGACAGATGGGTGAGGGGAAAAAGAGAGAATGTCCACTTGGGAGTCGAGGGACTCGAGGGACTGGAGGGTAGCATAGGCTGAGATGAACTCTGCCTTGTTGGCCGCAGAACGGCAGTTCCAGAGGCTGCCAGAGACCTGGAACTCCACGTTGGTCGTGCGTGCAGGGACCACCAGATTAGAGTGGCAACAGCCACGTGGTGTGAAACGTTTGTGTGGCCTGTGCAGAGAGGAGAGAACAGGGATAGACAGACACATAGTTGACAGGCTACAGAAAAAGTCTACAATAATGCAAAGGAGATCAGAATGAAATGAACTAAACATCTGGGAAAGCGAGAGAGCGGGGCCTCCCTCCCTTCACTGAAACACTCAAATATAACTCTCCCAACTTCCACTTTAGAAATTATAATTGTTGTAAACTACAGCGGTTCAATGTTTCTAGGAATAGAATAGAAAATAGAAAATCTGTGGAGGGAGCTGAAGGTTCGAGTTGCCAAACGTCAGCCTCGAAACCTTAATGACTTGGAGAAGATCTGCAAAGAGGAGTGGAACAAAATTCCTCCTGAGATGTGTGCAAACCTGGTGGCCATCTACAAGAAACATCTGACCTCAGTGATTGCCAACAAGGGTTTGCACCAAGTACTAAGTCATGTGTTGCAAAGGGGTCAAATACTTATTCCCCTCATTAAAATGCAAATCAATTTATAACATTTTTGACATGCATTTTTCTGGATTTTTTTGTTGTAATTCTGTCTCTCACTGTTAAAATAAACCTAACATAAAAAATTATAGACTGATCATGTCTTTGTCAGTGGGCAAACGTACAAAATCAGCAGGGGATCAAATACTTTTTTCCCTCACTGTACATGCTAGTTGGGATGACGGCGGTGTAGCGACGCCCATGCTGAGCAAAGTACCCCTGTTGTCAATCAAGCCCCCACACACACAATCATGTTGTGGTTAGAGCATTTAAAGTGTTTTTTGACTTTTCTGTTGAAAAATTATATTCACAGGTCGAGAGAAATTAGAGTAATCTAGGTGACAGACAGTGACACATTCAATTCTGTGTTGCACACTCTTGCCTGCATCTAGCTGATCTAGGTTATAATCATTAGTCAGTTGAAAACAAGCGTTTTCTATTGGACAAATTCAGGAATGTTTATCCCCGCTTCGTTCCGTTTGTTTCCGTTTAAGAAATGTTTTTCAACAGAATCGACGGAATGAATACACCCCTGATCACATGCACACACAGAACTAGCAGACACATACAGTGTACAGTGAAAGTATTCAGACCCCTTGACTTTTTCCACATTTTGTTACGTTACAGCCTTATTCTAAAATTGATTAAATAGTTTTTTTCCTCATCAATCTACACACAATACCCATAATGACAAAGCAAAAACAGGTTTTTAGAAATGTTTGCAATAAATAAATAAATATCACATTTACATAAGTATTCAGACCCTTTACTCAGTACTTTGTTGAATCACCTTTGGCAGCGATTACAGCCTTGAGTCTTCTTGGGTATGACGCTACAAGCTTGGCACACCTGTATTTGGGGAGTTTCTCCCATTCTTCTCTACAGATCCTCTCAAGCTCTGTCAGGTTGGATGGGGAGTGTCACTGCACAGCTATTTTCAGGTCTCTCCAGAGATGTT